TCTTTACACTTCGCGTTTCGTGCTGATACTGCAGGTGTCTAACGGCTGTGTGTTATCTGTTAGAAGGTAGCTTGTATTGACAATATAAAGCCGTGTTGGTTGCTGTATATTCAACAGTTATTATTCAGTTCAAAGAGACAGATAATGTGTATTGCAATTGTGTTAATAGTTAATATAAATGTTAGATTAATAATGCTTTGCGTCCTCTGAAAATGTGGTTGTGCCAGCAGCGTTGAATGTTATTAAAAATTACATCGGTGAAGAAATTAGCTAGACTGTATTATAGGTGGTCTTTGTGAACTTGAAGTACCAAATTATGCTGTGATCTTTTCTGCATAGAAAGAAGAGAATCGTTGGACATTTAGAGACTGAAATTAGAAAAATGTGGGTAATTTATCCCAACTTAAATTGGAAAATTAAATATGATTGGTCTTTTTTTCCGCAACTGTCTGAAAAAAGAATATTGAAGGTTTTTTTCCTGTCTGCACTGAAAGTAGAAAGTATATGATACTTTCTTTCTACATTACAAAAAAAAATTGAACTTGACTGCCCTTTTTCCTACACCGTAAGGATGAGATGGGGTGTGGTATTAAAGGTAGAAAATTGTGAGTTTCTGACACTGAAAGTAGAACATTGTTGGAGATTTTCTAGACTTCTTAATCACTTTCTCTTTTACAACTTCGGATGTCGTGGGAGATATAATATTCTGTTCTTGCTCTTCTATGCGTATCAACCATAGACATAATGTGTTGTTGTACAGTTTCTCTGATGTTATCTTGTCATCTTGTTCTTGGTTCTTCTCCTACTCTATGTCCTTCTCTTTTAGTGTATGCCTCGTATGGTAACGCGTCACAAGGCATTCTTTCCAAGTGGGCAAATGATTTGATTTAAGCAATTTAAAATTGGCTCAGTTCCGATTTTTTCTGCTATGCTCATATGTGACTTTTCTTCTCTGTCATCCTGCAGCCCTTCTCACACATCTAATTTGCATGGTTACTAATTCGATTCTTGTTTATTGTGAGCGACCGTATACGACAATGGTAAAATAGGGTGGAATGAATATGGCTTCTATGAGCTGTTTTACTGTGCTGTTTGAGACTGTCTTATGCTGTAAGAGGGGAGTTAGCTATCACATTACTTGGTTTACTTGACTATACCGGATTTTCTGGACTGAGAGTGGAAACTTATAAGTTTGTGAACCGATAGAAGCAAACGTGTAGGAGATGTTCAGGACTGAAAGTAGAGAATCATAGGTGCGTTTCTGGGCTGTAAGTAAACAACCACATGAGATTTTCTGACAATTAAAGGTGATTCATTACACTGAAGGTAGACAATTGTAGGTGATTTTATGGACTGATAATAGACAATTGAAGGCGTTTTTTTTTTGTGTGGTGGGGGGGGGGGGGGAATTAGTGTAGACAACTGAAGATGATTTTCAAGACTGCAAATATGTGATTGTTTTGGACAAAGTAGACAACTGGATGTGATATTTCTCGACAGAGCAGACACATGTTCATTGTTTTTTGAATTAAAAATAAAACACCTGAGAAAATACGGTCTTGAGGTTAATCAGAGATGGGACTGGAGTATATCAGGGTTTGCGATAACTGCCTCTTGTTCAAGCACAGCAGTTCGTCTTATGATCATCTCTTTATGAGTTTGAGACATTTAGAAAGTGGAAGATACTCGATCTTTTTCTCACTCTCTCTCTCCCTCTTTCTCACTCTTCTCTCTCTCTCTCTCTCTCTCTCTCTCTCTCTCTCTCTCTCTCTCTGTCTCTCTCTCTCTCTCTCTCTCTCTCTCTCTCTCTCGCTTGAAAAATAAATACGGATATGAAGGAATACAAAGATCTAACAGTGCACAACAACAACAACACAATTTGTGTAAATATAAGGACAATATGCCTATTCCCTGATCCGTAATTCTTCTTTTTCTGCACTTTCTTCCCCTAACGGAGATTCTATCCTTAACTCGTCCTTTTTTTTTTTTCTGTCGCGTGTAACTCACATATTATCTTTACACCATTTTACTCAATGTTAATGCTAATAAAAGTATTTGTAATCTTCCGCAACAAGAAATTCAAGTATGTATGAAAATGTGCATATTTTTAAACTTCACTGACTTGTTTGAAGATTTTGCATCTCTCCTTTTCTGTTTTCTACTATCTTTTTACCTTTGCACCATTTTCATCTTCTTCTTCTTCTTCTTCTTCTTCTTCTTCTTCTTCTTCTTCTTCTTCTTCTTCTTCTTCTTCTTCTTCTTCTTCTTCTTCTTCTTCTTCTTCTTCTTCTTCTTTCTTCTTCTTCTTCTTCTTCTTCTTCTTCTTCTTCTTCTTCTTCTTCTTCTTCTTCTTCTTCTTCTTCTTCTTCTTCTTCTTCTTCTTTTTCTTCTTCTTCCCCGAATCTGTGTATGCACCGGTGATTGAGTAGGCATAGGTGATTATGTATGCATGGGTGATTGTGTCTGAATGGGTGATTGTGTATGCACAGGGGATTAAACATGGGAGATTGTGTACGCACTGGTGATTGTAGATGTATGAGTGATTGTGTATATATTTTGATTGCGTATGTATGGTTGATTGTGTATGCTTATGTGACTCTGTATGTATCGCTGACTATGAATGATTAAGTGCATGCGTATGTATTGGTGTTAGTGTATGTATGGCTGTTGTGTATTATCAAATGCTTGTGTATGTATGGAAGATTGTGTGCGATTTTGTGTGTGTACGTATCTAATGCTGTTTGTGTGTGTATGGGGTTGTATGGGTATGTAAGGACGTTTAAGAATGTGTGGGTGTTTGCATGTGTACTGGTGATTGAGTGTGATCAGAAGTTTGTGTATATATGGGTAAATGTATATGTGTGGTAACTGTTTATGATCAGATACTTTTGTATGTATGGTTGATTATGTATGTGTGGTGATTGTGTATGATCAGATGCTTGTGTATGTATGGTTGATTGTGTATGTGTAGGTGATTGTGTATGATAAGATGATTGTGCATGTATGGGTGATTGTGTGTTCCTGTATAAGTGTGTATGTGTCTGTGTATCTATGTATGTGTTCATGTATGCGTGTGCATGTGTCTGTGTATGTATGTGTCTGTGTATGTATGTGTTCATGTATGCGTGTGTATGTGTCTGTGTATGTGTCTGTGTATGTATGTGTCTGTGTATGTATGTGTCTGTGTATGTATGTGTTCATTTATGCGTGTGTATGTGTCTGTGTATGCATGGGCATGTAAGAGTATGTATATGTGTGCATTTTTAGTGTGTGGTTGTGTATATATGATGTTTGTATGAATTAATTTATTAAGCATATTTATTATGTTTGCATCTGTAGCTTAGGCGTTGCGAACGAGCTTCGTAATGCTAGGGTACAGGTTCGATCCCATCTGCTGACGATTTGTCTTGCGTTTGTTTCGACAGTGGTACTGAGAGTTGACCGTGCAGAGGGCAATGGCAAAATACGTAAAATCTGCCTAGAAAAATCACAACAGCCAAAAAATACTGGGGTGGTTCTGCAACGTCCTGTAAAGGATATGAATCTTAACTGGATATTATTTTTTATATGTTAACATAACATGCATTATTTATAACATGCAGCTTTGGTCTGAAAGATGAATGTTTTGAAGAGTCGAATGTAAGACATGCCTGCTTGCGCAGTTTGTAACCCTCTGCAAAAAAAGCTCGTTTTCGTTTGTTCTTCCGTTAATTTTTCTTCTTCTTCTTCTACTTCTTCTGCTACTGATATTGCTGCTGCTGCTACTGCTACTACTACTTTTGCATCTGCTGCTTCTACTACTATTACTGCTGCTCTTGCTACTACTACTATTATTGCTACTGCTGCTACTGCTGCTGCTACTACTGCTGCTGCTACTACTACTACCACCACTACTACTATTGCTGCTGCTGCTTCTACTATTAGTATCACTTTCACTACACTACTGCTATAACTACTACAAGCACCACTACTACTTCTATTACTACCTTGTCGCGTCCCCATCCTTCTCTTCCTTATTCTAATAATTCTGTTATAACAGTAAACACCATTCTGCCCGTTCTTCTCCTAAGTTTATCACCCGGAATCTGTATGTCTCATAACAATCCTCGGTAACCACAAAAACCAATCCAATCACCCAGACAAACACATATTCCTTCTTACCTCAGCGGTGTCAAAGTAATAACAGACCCAATCACCCAGACAAACACATATTCCCTCTTACCTGAGTGGTGTCAAAGTAATAACAGACCCAATCACCCAGACAAACACATATTTCCTCTTACCTGAGTGGTGTCAAAGTAATAACAGACTCAATCACCCAGACAAACACATATTCACTCTTACCACAGCAGTGTCAGAGTAATAACAGACCCAATCATCCAGACAAACACATATTCCCTCTTACCTGAGCGGTGTCAAAGTAATAACATACCCAATCACCCAGCCAAACACACATTCCCTCTTACCTGAGCGGTGTCAAAGTAATAACAGACCCAATCACCCAGCCAAACACACATTCCCTCTTACCTCAGCGGCGTCAAAGTAATAACAGACCCAATCACCCAGACAAACACGTAATCCCTCTTACCTCAGCGGTGTCAAAGTAATAACAGACCCAATCACCCAGCCAAACACATATTCCCTCTTACCTGAGCGGTGTCGTAATGACCCAATCAAAGTAAACACACATTCCCTCTTACCTCAGCGGTGTCCCAAAGTCATCCAGACAAACCCAGACAAACACATTCCCTCTTACCTCAGCGGTGTCAAAGTAATAACAGACCCAATCACCCAGACAAACACATATTCCCTCTTACCTCAGCGGTGTCAAAGTAATAACAGACCCAATCACCCAGCCAAACACACATTGCCTCTTACCTGAGCGGTGTCGAAGTAATAACAGACCCAATCACCCAGACAAACACACATTCCCTCTTACCTGAGCGGTGTCAGAGTAATAACAGACCCAATCACCCAGACAAACACATATTCCCTCTTACCTCAGCGGTGTCAGAGTAATAACAGACCCAATCAAAATGCCTGTATCAGAAATGACCATTCCACGCAAGTACAGGATCGTCGTTGAGTGCATCTCCCGCCTCCACAGCACAAGGATCGTGAGAATGTTACCGACGAGCCCTGCAACAGCCACCAGAGGGAGAATGATCCCCCAGGTAATGAACATGAAGAGCCGTATCTCCGGACTGTTCTCGTCACTCAGTGACGTGTCTCCATACGTGACGTTCACCTTAAAGTTAATTTCGTTGATTGTAGGCATGATGTCTGGTCCTCGGAAATGTGGTACACCTAAATCCGTTACTGATTCCCGCTGACTACTTTCTGTGTCGAATACACGTATCTACAGAATCGATCAGGTCCAGAGATATTTGTAACATCTTGACGGTGAATCAGTACAATTGTCTGCGGATAGAAAAATATATTTTTCTTTATTTAAAAAAAAAAAAAAAAAACAATTGATGTTATTTAAAGTATAGTGTTACAATAATTTACCAGCACCATCATGTGGCAGTTGTGCAGAACGTCGCTCTCATCCTGCTTGGAGAAACAGATCGGTCTCTAATCAGCTCTCTTGGAGACCAAGTAAGTCATTTTTATGTTGTGCCCATGTTTATGTTGGTCGACCCCTGCCCCTCGCTCCCTTCTAAGCTGCCGTGGTGTTTGAAGTGGGTGAAATATTTCAGCTTCTGAGAGATGATTGTTATCTTCCTTGATGTTCAGATCTGTTAAGATATCAGTTTTTCTTTTCTTCTTTGTTTATGGTATTCTGAGAATCTTTTCACCGCATTTCAGCTTAAAAACGCCCCATATTCTTCCTTGAAGACAAGGAGGTAGTCCACGACGCACATCCGTATGTTGTTCCATCAAGACAAGGAGGTAGTCCACGACGCACATCTGTATGTTGTTATAGCGAAACTGATGCTCTTAACATTTTTGACTGTGACTTTCTTGCTGGTGCTTGCTGATACGTAGCCAACTAAAAGACATTCCAAGGTGTTCCAGAAGATTTGGCTAGTAAGCCACAATTGACACTTATTAACGGGTAGCTGTTTGAGGTTTGAACAACAAATCAACATCATAGTACACGGGTAGTACCCGATAAATGCTCCATTCTTCTTCACACTCAAGTCTGAGTCTGAAGAAGCTCAGCACAGTGCAAAGGCTCTGCAGCACCGGTGAGGATCCTGCAATACTTTGGGTAGATTTGAAACTGTAAGTCAGCGCCTTAGGGCTACTTTTTTCGATTTCCAAATGCCAAGGGATTTTTTACGTGCGCAACAATGCACACGAACGTCCGATCCCACTGCCCAGAGACCAGGGGGAAATTACTAGAAGTCCAAGTCCATGTGAAAAAATCCAAGCCCTTACCGGGGATTGAACCCGGAATCTCTAGCACTTGAGGCGGACAACATGTCTTGAGACCACGCAGCCCCCTTGGCCAGTAACTGTCTACCAACCCATTAGATAGACTTGTGTGTTCAGTAGCCTCTTGGAAGGAGTCAGACAACAATACTAATGTTCCGTTCAGACAGTAGAACACTGACCCACGCCATCTACCTGCTATGGCTTGCCGATTGACAATACAAGTAGATGACCATCGACGCGTAGACTACCCCTGTTCTATGATGATTTGAACAGCACCCACCGAGGCGACAGGGAAACATTCTAAGCATTGTACTGCAGCGTTTTTTTTTTTTTTTTTCAAGCCTAATATGCACGCACCTAAAAGTCGCATACATTTACACCGTGAAGCATTTCAATACCTGTGACTTATAATTGATTAACGCAAACACCTACTATAAATGTTTAAACACACATCGCAAGAGCAGAACCTCATAGCCTGTAATGTATATCTTCATACGCACATATACGCTTTACAGACTAATTCGGACATCCATTAACAATCTGTGTCTGTATTTATAATTGAAAGTGTTACTTTATCTTCTTCTACAGGGATAGCTGTTCAGACGCAAACGGGAAGAACATAGCAAGACAAATGAGCAGGAGAAAGACACAGCGGGTGAACAAAGCTGGATTGAAAGACAGTCGTGAACCTTTTGGACAAGGCCTTCTGTCACGTTTGCTCAATCATTTCCGATACATATTTTATTTTACCCCATGGTGCCCAACTGTCCAACATTTTAGCTTCCTGTATTTCTCTAACCCTCCAACTTTTGTGTTGTCACGATGAACCTCATCTCACGAAGTGTTAGAAAATGTAACCTATGGAGACCGAGGACAGAGGATACTAAATATATTGTTTTAACAAGATTCTTTGTTTCTTTAGTAATTGCAGCCTATATAATTACCTTTTTTATAAATGTGTGACGCATAATTAATTATTCACAACTAGACAGTTTGTCAGATATGCGGCACATCCCTTTGTGACAATCTCCGCATAGCTTCTATTACGTATTTCTTGGTTACATGTTGGCCCTGGTTGTTTGTAAACTCTGTTTTCCAGTCTGTTGTGTCTTATTTTGTGTTGTATTTAGTACTCTGTTGGTGAAAAAGCTTTGGTCGAAAACGTACTATTGTGTTTGTAGCGCGTCTTTTCCATTCTCTCTGTTTTGTTTTCAAGTCACATTTTGTTTTGTACATAGTATTTTGCTACAGGCATCCAGAAAATATATGCATACACACAGAACATGTTTACACATATCCACATAATGTTTACCTTATACTCGATAATGAAATTTGATACGTTGACATGTATATGTGATTATGCAATCAGCTGTTACTGCTACAGCTGACGCGATAACCAGCCGTGTACATATGCGGAAAACGTATCAACTCAACTGGTAATCTTTGTTTGTTCCTTCGAGATTATCTAACACTGACGTATAAATATACCTAGATATCACTTTTGAAACGATACGTTGTTAGGGTTGCACTGAAGATCGTTAACCTAATAAAAACAACACATTAATGCAGAGCTCGGCAATACATTCGTATCATTCTCATCCACCGTATCCTCTATTCTTTTTCTTCCGTTTTCTCTCTTCTTCTTCTTCTTCTTCTTCTTCTTCTTCTTCTTCTTCTTCTTCTTCTTCTTCTTCTTCTTCCTCTTCTTAATACTATTCTTATTATTAGTATTATTATTATTCCTCTTCCCCAGTATGTGAGCAGCGTGTTAGTAAATTATAGAATGTATATTATGTCGAGCTGTTTGATGTCTGTAAGAGAATTGACACATAATCAGCATCCTTTCCCAAAAGCTGTTTTGCCCCGTGACGACAAGCGCAATGATGGACTGAAGAGAGCAGCGATGGAAAGTAAAGTGTCCGAAAAAAAAAAAAAAAAAAACGATGCAGCGGCCGACGTTCGCCAAGACCGACGTTCGCTAAGATGGATAAAATACGTTAAAGATGCGTTCGCTATTAGAGCACACAGTGCTGGGAAATTGCCTGAAGAAAAACTTGCAGGCGTAGCCTGACGGGAGTGACGTTCTGTTAAAGGATCTGCTGATTGACTGACTGGATATTTCATAGGGATCGTTTTGTTTACACAGAGTAGAACCGCCGAGCAGAATTCTGTGTAAAATACCCAAAGAATAAAGTGGTCAGTCAAAGTCTCCCACCGGGAAGATGTACAGTGAAGTAAAGGACTTTGTGATCTGTGTAATTTGCATTGAAAGGTTTCATTGTTGTAGTTCACTATATGGGAATTCTGTTTTACTGTACTTGACCGTGTTAAAATGTAATATTTTAGGTAATACATTTTTTAGAATTTATTTTATTTTTACGTGTATCACATAAATAGTATCGAGTGAGAGTTCAGGGAAAGAAGAAGACTAAGAATAAGAAGAAGAAGAAGAAGAAGAAGAAGAAGAAGAAGAAGAAGAAGAAGAAGAAGAAGAAGAAGAAGAAGAAGAAGAAGAAGAAGAAGAAGAAGAAGAAGAAGAAGAAAGAGGAGGAGGAGCAGAAGTTGAAGAAGTAGTATAAAAGGAAATTCACAATGCAAAACGTTTTTAAAAATTTTCAAAATCCCTGATAATGTGAATTCGAGGTAGCGACGGGAAAAGTTGAATATGATGTTTCTCTCTGGCTAATGCAACGTCTAAGAGTTTTAATATATTGTATTTTGAATGCTACAACAATAGATCTGTTTTGGTCTATTCCAGAAGCGAATGCATGACATTTTGTGTCCAGCGCATCATCCACCCCTCGTTTTTTCCTATCTATAGAAGCCCAACAAATACATTCAGTGTATCCACTGCTAAACATCAATCAGGACGTGAGAGAAGAATGTCAAATGTAGGCGGCAAATAATACAGCCGAAGAAAAGAATACTGCTGCTTCTACAGATGCTTCAATACAGAAGCTGCTTTTCATGTGGGCTGAGCTGAGTTGATTCAAGAACCGACATTACAGCACTCGGGGCATTCCCATAGCGCTCCGTCCTCATCTTCAGCAGCTAGCACAGAGTTCCAATATCAATGGTGTGAAGAACATTTTAATTAAACGTCCGTCTTGCCTTTCCTCTGAGCGTTGAGCATCGACCAGAACCCCTCGACATTCCCCGCTGCATCAGTCTCACTAGACTGGTGATCCATTTGCTTCTTGTAATTGTACACGTTTTCCCACATAGCCCTAACCACGTCTGCTTTATCGTGCATCAATATTCAATCAAGTAGTGCAGAACCAGGTGGTATGTCCGCCCGTTTATTTCCCAAAACACCGGCGTGCCCTGGAGAAACAATCTGGACAATACTTCTCACCTGTGACCACCGGAGCGAAGCATGCCCCTCTGTGTGTGTATGTGTGTGTGTGTTTGTGTGTGTGTTTGTGTGTGTGTGTGTGTGTGTGTCGTGTTCTCTAACCAGCGGAAAGCTACAGTGACCCCCTCCACCTCCATTCTTAAGCTGGATATTTTGGTATCATGTGCTAGGCTCTCCTTCACCACAAGTCGTCCATTTACTTTTGTTAAGAAACCCTGCGCACTTCTTTTGCCTCTTGACATCGAACCTTCTGTATAAATAATCACATCTTCTGAGTGGGCATTACCTTAAATTAATTGCTGAATGTCTATCTCCGTGGCACCTGCTGGCCACTCTCTGCATTCTAGACTCAGCGTGATTACGAACAAATCCATACAAATATTACCGTTCCGCTTTCACTCTGACCCACTCCTCTCCTCGCTTAATGTTCTCCGGGATGCAAGGCTACCTGATTGTGTCTTCTGTCTGAGCCATCCATAACTTCTCTCTGATCAACCGCTAACCCTTAACTGCGCCCAGAGCTTCGTGCAAATGGTGAT